ACCTGGCTCTGCCTTCCGAGTGCTGGGATTAAAGGCGTGCGCCACCACCGCCCGTTTCCGTATGGCATTTTTATACATACTTAGTTTTAGCTGACTCTCCCTGTACCCCTTCCTCTCTCCCATCTCCCTAGCTCCTGCCTCACTTAAACCTTTCCACTTCAGTATTACCATTACCCCCTTCACTTTCATATCACATGTGTTCTACTACCCTCCTGTCCTAGTTAGGGTTACTACTGCTAGGATGAAATGCTATGACCAAAGAAACTTGGGGAGATGTGGTGTTTTGAAAGAAAATGGCTTCCAAAAGGAGTGGCACTATTAGGAGGTGTGGCCTTGTTGGAGTGGGTGTGGTCTTGATGGGGGAAGTGTGTCACTGTGGAGGTGAGCTTTGAGGTCTCCTATGCTCAAGCTACCAACCAGTGTCTCAGACCACTTCCTGTGGCCTGCAAGATAGAGAACTCTCAGCTACTTCTCCAGCATCATGTCTGCCTGCATACCACCATGTCCCGCCATGATGATAATGGACTGAACCTCTGAACTGTGAGTGAGTCACCCCAACTAAATGTTTACCTTTATAAGAGTTGCCATGGTCATGGTATCTCTTCACAGCAATAGAAACCCTAACTAAGAAAGGGTTTATTTCAGTTTACACTTCTGGATAGCAGTCATCACTGAGGGAAGTCAAGAAAGGAACTCAAACAGGGCAGGAACTAGAGGCAGGAGCTGATGCAGAGGCCATAGAGGAATGCTTCCTAATGGCTTACTCTCTCATGGCTTGTTCAGTCTGCTTTCTTATAGAACCCAGGACCACCAACCCAGGGCCACAGTGGGCGGGGCCCTCATCCATTGATCGCTTCTTAAGAGAGTGCTCTACATGCTTGCCTACAGCCCAGTCTTATGGAGGCATTTTCTTATTTGGGAGTCCCATCTCTCAAATGACTCTAACCTGTGTAGTTGACGTAAATGTAGTCAGCACATCTTACCCTCTCAGGAGCCTTCTTCTTGTTTTTTTTTTTTTTTTGGCCTCTACATGCACTCCCACAGAAATACAAATATATGAAAATGAGAAGTTAGTATTCTCATTGGAGACATTTATCTTTTGCGTCTAGGTTACCTCACTTAGTAAAATTATTTTCCAGTTCTATACACTTAACTAAAAATTTCATGATGTCATTTTTCTTTATAGCTTAATAAAATCCCATTGTATGCCGGGCAGTGGTAGCACACGCCTTTAATACCAGCACTCAGGAGGCAGAGGCAGGTGAATCTCTGTGAGTTTGAAGCCAGCCTGGTCTACATAGTGAGTTTCAGGAAAGGCTCCAAAAGCTACACAGAGAAACCCTGTCTCAAAAAACAAAACAAAACACAAAACAAAAAATCCCATTGTACATATGTTCCACATTCTCACTGTCTATACATCAGTGGATGATGGACACTTGGGCTGGTTCCATTTCCTAGCTATTGTGAATAGACTGGCAATGAACATGGATGTATAAGCGTCTCTGTGGTGGGGTAGAGTCCTTTGGGCATGTGCTCAGGCGTGGTACAGTTGGGTCAAACAGAAATCTAGTTCTAGCTCTCTCTCTCTTTTATTTTTTAAGACCAGGTCTCACTGTGTATCACTGGCTGGCCTGGAACGTGGTATGTAAACCAGCCTGGCCTCCATCTCACAGAGTGCCTCCTGCCTCTGCCTCTCCAGTGCTGGGATTAAAGGCGTGTGTCACCATGCTCTGCTGTTTCTCATTTTCAGGAACTTTCACACTGATTTCCATGGCTGCAGTTTACACACCCAGCACCAGTGTGTCAGGATTCCTTACACCCACTTCTTGGCCAGCGTTTATTGTCTTTGATTGCTTGATGATAGCCGGTCCAGCTGCGGTGAGACAGAACCTCTAGGTAATTTGCATTTCCCTGATGGCTAGGGATGTTCAATACTTTAAAAAATAGTTATGGAAGGCCAGTGAAGTGATACACCAGGTTAAAGTTCTTTATACAACCTGACAACCTGAATTCGGACCCCGAAAACAGGAAGGAGAGAACCAACTCCGAAAAGTTGTCCTTCAATTCCTCCCCCATACACACATCATGTGAACATGCATACACAGATAAGAAGAAAATAAAATGCAGAAAAACTCTATTGGTCATTTGTATCTCTTTTGAGAACCCTCTTCAGTTTCTGGTATGACTCAGTTTATCCAATAGCTAAAGCTTAACAAATTTAGCAAAGACCAAGAGGCTAGACATATATCTTCAAGTTGGTTTTTGTGAGCTTGAACAGATCTTATAAACTGTGTTTATCAAACATGCCTTATTTATCAAACATACATTGTTACTAAATTTTTCTAGAAGCCTGGTGTTGAACAGTTAGCAAAGACAGATGTGGCTAGACATACATCTCTAAGTCAGTGTGGTGGTTTCAATGAGAATGGCCCCCATCAGCTCACAGATTTGAATGCTTGGTCACCAGGGAGCGGCACTATTAGGAGGTGTGGCCTTGCTGGAGTAGGTGTGGCCTTGTTGGTGGAAGTGTGTCACTGTGAGTGGGCTTTGAGGGCGCAGAAGCCCAAGCCAAGCCCAGTGGCTCTCTCTTTCTCTCCTGCTGCCTGTGGATCCAGATGTAGAGCTCTCAGCTCCTTCTCCAGCACCTTGTCTGCCCGCATGCTGCCATGCTTCCCACAGTGCTGATAATGTACTAAACCTCTGAACCTGTAAGACAGCCCCAATTCAATGTTTTTCTTTATAAGAGTTGTCAGACTGGAGAGATGGCTCAGAGGTTAAGAGCAGTGTCTGCTCTTCCAGAGGTCCTAAGTTCAATTCCCAGGAACCACATGGTGGCTCACAACCATCTGTAGTTAGATCCGGTGCCATCTTCTGGCCTACATACATGCAGGTAGAACACTGTATACATAATAAATAAATCTTTATAAATATATATAAAGTTGTCGTGGTCATCATGGTGTCTCTTCATAGCAATAGCAGAATGACTAAGACAGTCAGCTTTTGTTATTCTGAGTAGGCCTTTATAACCTTAGGAATTTATAAACTGTATTTATCTATCAAACATATGCTGTTGCTTATCTACATTTTTTACTCTAAGGACAAAAATCATATAAAATCCATCCTAATGCAAAACCTTGGAGACCGGCTGCCTCCTTAGTCTAAAAGGAGGGGCCAGGATAAGCAGAGGGCTCAGAAGGACTACAGAATTTTGTGAGTGCTGCCTTAGTTGGTTTCTACCTTGTGGTCATCTTAGTCAAGATGGTGGCAGATTACATGGTATGTTCTCTCTTTTAGCTTTAGAAAAGGTGGCTGCCAGCCACAATGAAGAGGTCGTCAGCCAAGATTAAGGCAAGCCCAACGGTTGCTATTTAAAAACATCTATTTTCTGAAACAAGAGTTGAACCCAAGCTATATATAGTTTGTTGTAGTAAATTAAGATTACCTTATATAAAGATTTTTTAACTATCAACTTTTTGTTACTTTTTTTTTTTTTTTTTTTTTTTGAGGCAGGGTTCCTCTTTGTAGTCTTGGCTGTTCTGGAACTCACTTTGCACACCAGGCTGGCCTCGGACTTAGAGATCTGCCTGCCTTTGCCTCCCTAAAGGCATGGACCACTGTGCCTGCAGGCTTGTTACAACTTTTTTGTTTGTTTTTTGAGACAGGGTTTCTCATGTAATAGCCCTGGCCATCCTGGTACTAGCTCTGCAGGCTGGCCTCAAACTCACAGACATCCACCTGCCTCTGTCTCCCAAGTGCTGGGATTAAAGGCATGCGCCACCACCGCCCAGTTTGTTATAACTTTTAAGTTAACTTTTGTTACAGATTTTACAGATCTTTAAACCATACCCAGTGAATTTACAAATCCTGAGATAGATAAAGAGTTTACACAATAGTTTTACAAGATTTCTTTCTGGGAGCAGAGCAAAGAAAGTATAGAGATAAGAGGTTTTTTAAGGCGAAAGATTTATACGATCTGAAGAGAAACCAGAGTATAAGAGGTTTTTTAAGAGTATAGGGTGATGGCCCAAGCTTTTAATCCCAGCACTTGGGAAGCAGAGACAGTCTGGTCTCTCTGAGTTCAAGGGCAGCTTGTTCTACAGAGTTCCAGGACAGCCAGGACTATTACACAGAGAAACTCTGTCTTGAAAAACAAGAGAGAGAGAGAGAGAGAGAGAGAGAGAGAGAGAGAGAGAGAGAAGAGAAGAGAAGAGAAGAGAAGAGAAGAGAAGAGAAGAGAAGAGAAGAG